TTATGTTATTAGGAGGAGTAAATATGTGTACAAACAAAAAAATTGGTTTCAAAGGAAACATTGATGTAACAGAACAAATTCTTTTCTGCATTTATAGGTTTAAGTAATCCAAGGGCTGAAACGTATGGGGAAGGGTCAAGATGCGTTGAACACAATACTTCATGGGTAGCTGCAGGAAGCTCCAGTAGTATACCACTTTCTTTCCCTCAAGCTGGCTGCTATCAGGTAATTAATCATATCATACTTCTTTCAATTTCTTAGTATTGCTATAGTATCGATGCTCTAATGGTGCCGTTACAATATTCATTCTTGATCAATCATATCATTGCAGTCAAGCTGGAGAAGTGGTATGTTTAAGTTTTGAGGGCCGAGGGAAAAGGGAAAGCATTTATATAGTTCCAATTCTCTATTAGTTAACAGTTAATCAAGTCAACAACAGTGTAACGTATACAGGAACAATTATATGTCCTTCATGTCTTGAGATATGCTATGTACGTCAACTTTGCCATTGTGTATAGTATACTGTATTTAAAAATTTTTTAGGACGACTTTGAGAATTGCCCTGAAGCAGGTAACAAAAAATGTATTATCAAAATGTTTTATTTTAAAGTATACATCTACATGTAGCTGCACTTTATCAAGTGGGTGCCTCTACTGCTTCATCATCATCAGCCACATCTAGTGCTTCAACTAGCAGCAGCTCCTCTTCATCAACCACCATCAATGCTACACCCGGCCCCAGTGCCACAAATACTGTATCTTCTCGAAGTTCCCAATCAAACATTGTCAATGCTACTCCAAGCAGTACAACAAGTGTGTCCTCTAGCAGTAGCAGTAGTTCTTCTATCAGTACAACTGCTCCTAGTACTTCTCCTACTAGCAGTGGATATGGTCTCATTCCATTCCTCAGTCTCATGCTGTTTGGAATTTTAACTGCTACTTTGATGAATATTGCCAATTGACACTAATTTTTATTGTTAATTTGTGTTTAGTTTGTTTTTAACTCAGTGATATGTATTTTTATGATTTTAAAAGATAATTTATCTAGTTTAACCAGTTATAATAGTCTCAGTGA